ACACATACACACCCCTCCTCTAAACCTAATTTTATACTTTGCTGTTCACTTTCCCTCAGTAAGTGAGCATGATAACGCAATCTGTTATACATACATAGAATGTAACGGGCAGGGCAAGGAAATGCTCTGCTCTGCTTTCCTGCTTCATGATTTATGACATATTAGAACAGCTTGTCTTGCATACATTTACTATAGCAGTTAAAATAAACAAAAATCTCATTATAGTTGTATGAAACCTAAAGCACTTCATTGCCAAGAGAGGTGGCTGAGGTAGCTGAGGTAGCATTTTCTCAATGTTTTGGAAAAAACTAACAAACAAACAAATATTGCTTATTTTATTGTCCATTGTTCAAATATTATATTGATAATTGCAGGAGTTTATTTAATACAATCAATTATTATATTGTCCAGGACAAAATATCTTTATACTGAATATCATATGACATGCCTTGTTGTATCTTGTGACCCCCAGCTCTAAACATAATGTCAGAGCTACAGATGTTGATACAGCTAATCACACAGTTGTTGTTGTTAACCTGTAGTTATAGTATGCCATGGTTTTAAAATACCAATTTGGTCAGCTTGGCAGTCTGTCTCACTCCTTATCAGCTGTTGGCTATGAAGCACGTGTTGCTTGCCAACTGAAAAAATGATGAAATTAAGATAGTATAGACATAGTCTAACATTTTACCTGTGAGACTTGACTGAGAAAATATTTTAGTTCCTTTTAACATCATCTATGAAATGAAAACGTCAGATTTGTTTACAAAGAAATACCAAGTCTGTATCCTGGTCATAAAAATGTAATCACATCCTAACACCCTGGGGAGTGCCTCCTGTGCTGACAGTACTAAAACAGCAGAGGAGGCGTCACCAGCTTCTGGTTCACGAGTGGTTTTAGCTGAGTGCACTTGTTGCATTGTTCTACCTTTCTCTCTATTGTCCTTTCTTGTTTCCATTCCATAGTGTTGCACTTCAGTAATTTTGAGATGATGTTCCCTGTTTATTGATCCTCAAACCTCAAAGTTTTACTGATTAGTTTTATATCAAACTTACATACAGTTTCTGTCAAACTGACTAACAGAACTAGAGAACAATGAGACATGGAGCTGTGCACTTCTCCCACCATCTTGTATGACCACCACACAGCATCATGCCCAAACTGGCAGATCAGGGGCCTATTTCAAGAAGGCGGTTTTGTCGAAACTCAGAGTTTGTTAACCCCGAAATGAGGGAAACTCGGAGTTTTCGGTTTCAGAAACAGAGGTAACTTAAACCCGTAAAAGCGCGGTAAGTTAAACCCGTTTCACAAAGAGAGGTAATCTAAACTCAGAGTCAGTTACTATGGCAACTTACTCTGTGAACCTAACCTGCTTGGGAGCAGGTTTTGTTCGGGAAACTCAGAGTTTCCTCCGGGTCTCCGCCCCTTTTTAAAGTGAAAGGTGTTTAATACCTCATTTAATCTTTCAGTACATTCATAGATTGCACACGTTTCCGTCAATCAGACACATCACCCATTGTGGCCGTGCTCTTACATCCGAGCAGATGCTTTGTGTTGCGTTACGATTTGTTGCAAATGGCAGTTTGCATCGGGGATGCAGAGCCCATTAGTAAGGCCACAGTATGTAGAATAGTTCGGAAAGTGTGCCTCGCCCTCAAGCGCTTTCTGTGAATTTTTGTTGTGTTTCCTGGGCACAAACCCCTCAGAGCCATTAAAGAGGAGTTTCACAGGATTGCAGGTTAGTGGTATTGAATTCGTTTCAGTAAGGCTGATCTGAAAAATGATGATCAGTTAATAACATCTTGCTGTGACCTCTGGAAATAAACTAATAATTAGAATCCCCTTCAGGATTTCCTAATGTGGTTGGATGCATTGATGGCACACATATTCCCATCAATGCACCTACATGAAAATTAAA